CTTGTAGATGCAGAACAAGGCAGCTTTCAGTGAAACCCTTATCTGCTCCTGTGTGACTGAGACTCGGATGCATTCAGTGCCTCAGTTGGGACTTGAATTCAGGATCAGCTGCCTTGTGTCCTTGGAGCTTTATGATTTGTTCGTGCTAACTGGCTCTGATTTATCCCCTTTCTCTCCCTGTCCCCAGGGTGGTTCTTAATGCAAAGCCCTGTTTATCCCCCCTGTCTAGTTACTTACCTGAGTATCCAAGTGCCTGATGGCTCTTAACCCTCTGCTGGGTGAAGTGTGGGCCAGGTGCTCTCTGAAGTGGAGTATCTCTAATCTGATCATGTTCTAGCTGGGGGATTAATGGTTATTTTTGTTAGTCCTGCCCTACTTGCCTGTCTCTGGAAGACAGAGGGGAGGCGAAAATAGAGAGACAGATCCCCATGGAAAATTTCAGACTGCCGACTTCCACTGGCAGAGGGCCCAGGGTGTCCTGGTGGCAGTGTTCTTCCAGCGGGAATTAGCAAGCATTCTACTGGGCACGACCTCATGAAGGCACATTTGGATCCAGACGGGGTTAATGTTCAGCCGCCATGGGGCAGTGCTCTCCCTGGGTTTGGTTAGTTTGGGGCACATTCTTGTCAGTGTGTAAACTATTGGAGAGTCCTTTCCCACGGACTTGAAGACTCCTCTGACAGCAGCCACCCCGGCATCCTGTCCTCAAGCCCTGTGGTGTGGGCTGCCATGCGGAGAGTTTGAACCTGGGGGAGACTGGCCTGGGCAGAACGGAGGCTCAGGGAGGCATTGAGTAGCTGCAGCCCTCTCCAGAAAGGTGCAAGGGCCACCTCGGTCTGTCTGATCTCTGGCCGTGAGGCCGGCGTGTAAGAGAACACCCGGGAGAACAGCAGAATTCTGACGATGCACCAGGCCCTGGCGCCAGCCCTTTCCTGGGGGTGATCAGAAACTGCCTGTACCAAGGCAGGGCTCTCGGCCCATGTCCCTCGGCTGTCACACGGGAATCCACCTGGTGTTCCATGCACCAGTGAGCAGAGCTCCTCACGCAGGCGGTCTCCGCAGCCCTGGTGAAAGCCCCGGTCTCCAGGAAGGTTTGCGGGGCTGCGAAGACGACTTGGTGCACCCTCCAGTCATGCTGCTTTGTGCCTACACACGGGGGCGGGAGCAGAGACGCTTTCACACGACTTGGGGGTTAGTTCTTGTCTAAATTCCCTCCTCACCCCGGGGCCTGCCTGTTCCCCCGCTGTGGGGGGTGGCAGTCTGAAGCCATCCCTGGGATAGGGTGGCAAAGCACTCGAAGGGAGGAGGGAGGTGCCCACTAAGAAGCGAGTCTTGGAAATCCGGCTAGTGGAAGTTTCCAGCAGGTTTTTCCTGGCCCTGCCCTGGCTGCTCCAACTGAAGCCTTTGTTTGCCTTATTGTCTAGAAACCTGACCCCGGCAGGCTGAAATTGCAGCTGCAATGTGCAGATGAGCTGTCCTCTCCCTATTGAAACAGGGCAAGTGACTGAAAGGGGCTGTTACCAAGGTCCCTGGGAAAAACCCAGCCTGTGGCGTAAGTGTTCCATTTCAACTCCTGCCCCTCTGACTTCCCGCTTCCTCACAGGGCAGGGGCGGGCAATCATTTTTGCCAAGGGGGGGCACTTAATGAATTTTGATACTGGTCATGAGCTGGCTCTCCTCCCAGTGGGAGTAGGGCCTGGGGCAGAGGGGTGGGGCTAGAGCCTAGCCTCCCTATTTAAAGGGCTCCTGGCTCCAGCCCCTGCCCGGGTAGCGCTGCAGCTCTGAGCCCTTTAAATAGGAGCCTGCTGCCTGAGCTGCCACCTGGGAATTCGGTGGCATGGGCAGCAGGATTTTAACAGTGGCCAGTTGCTGTCTGCAGGCCAGATTCGGCCCCTGGACCACACCTTGTCCAGCGCTGTCAGAGGGCCTTGTTCAAAGGCAAACCTCCCCAGAGCCCACCTCAGCACGGCTGGCAGTAGCTGCTGGGGCGAGCAGGAGTCAGCAGCTCAGGGTGAAGTATTGGTGGGTGCCAAGGGCCTCTGGACTCCGCAGTGGCAGAGCTGCAGGGCTGGCTGAGTTTGGGGAGAAGGGCAGCATGGACCAACCCAAGTGGAGTCCTGCTCTCTGACGTGTGTCACTCAAGGTGCTTGATTTCAGTTACTTTGGAAACAGGAGAAACGAGGGGTCCTGGGACTCCTCCAGCAGGGAGCAGGCTGGGTGAAGAAACCCTGTCGCATGCTGGAATGACATGGGACCAGATCGTGACTGGTCCGTATCCAAACAATTCCTGAACAGCTGCTGTTCGTGGAAGGACAGAACCTCC